ATAATCTTCACATAGAAAAAATAATTTGCTCCAGTAATGTAGAAACAGCTAGAAAAAAAAACCCAGCCGGGCTCGGTGGCTCAGCCTGTCATCCCGCGCCTTTGGGAGGCTGAGGTGAGTGGATCGCCCGAGCCCGCGGGTTCGAGACCCGCCTGGGCGGCGAGACCTCATCTCTACAATAAATCAAAAAATCAGTCGGGCGTGGTAGCGCGCGCCTGTAATTCCGGCTACGCGGAAGTCTGAGGCGGAAGGATCGCCGGAGACCAGCAGTCGAGGCTGCGGTGGCCGGCAGCGGCCACTGCACTCCAGTCTGGGCGACAGAGCGAGAACTCCAACTCAAAAAAAAAAAAAAAAAAAAAAAAAACCCAACAACAATTTGACAAAACCCATTCATGATAAAAACTCTCCAATAGCCAGGAATAGAGCCCTTCATCTTCTATTCATAAAAGAGGATTTTCTGATAAAGGGTATCTATAATAAAAACTAGAGACAATTTCATATTTTATGGAGGACTAAATGTTTTCTCCCTAATATTAGAAGCAAGGCAAAAATGTTTGTTTTTACCATTTATAGACATCATTGCACTGCTCTTGTCAATGCAGTAAGACAAAAGAAAGAAAGGAGGAAAAGATGCTAAAGCTATACAGATTGAAAAGAAAAAAGTAAAACTGGCATTATTCTCAGATCATATGATTCTGTATAAAAATTAATCTATGAAAACAACAATAATAAAAAACCTATCTGACCTTTAAAAAAATATAGCAGGGGCAAGATTCAAGACACATAAAATCAATTTTATTTCTATAGAATAGTAAGCAAAAATTAAAAATAAAAATAAAACAATTCTATTCATAATAGCATCAAAAAGAATAAAATACTTGGAAATAAATTTAAGAAAGGAAATGTAAGATCTGTATACTGAAAACTCCAAAGCATTGGTAAGAAAAATAAAAATATTTTTAAAAGGTGGGGGGAAGACATAACAGATTCATTGATTAGTGATTTGATAGTTTTAGGAAAGCAGTTCTCCAAGATTTGTCCCTAAATTTAACACTATTTCTATGCAACACGCTTCCCATCAAATTCCAAGTCAGTTTTTATGCAGAAATTGACAAGTTGACCATAAAATGTATATGGTATCCAAGGACCTAGAAATAGTCAAAGTAAAGTTGAGGAGGATATACAACCTGACTTCAAAACTTACTGTAAAGTAATAAAAACAATGGTATTAAGATAAGGTTAGACACGTTGATGAGTGAAACAGACTAGAGAGTCCAGAAGTAAACCCTCCCATTTATAGTCAACTGGTTTTCAAAAAAGGTGCAGACAAGTCAATGGAAAAAAGGATAGTCTTGTCAACAAACGATGCTGGGACAACTGGATATCCAGCTACCAAAAAAGAAAAAAAAAGAGAGAGAGAGAACTCCCACCATACAAAAAAATTAACTCAATATGGCATAGGCCTGAAGGTATGAGATAAAATTATAAAATTTCTAAAGGAAAAAAGTAGGAGAAAATTTTTGTAACCTTAGGTTAGGTAAATATTTCATAGATGTGATAACAAAACACACACCATAAAGAAAAAAATTGATTAATTAAACTTTATAATTTTTGTTTTCTAAAAGATACCACTGAGAGAATGAAAAAACAAATCACAGACTGGGAGAAAGTATTTGTAAATCATATATCTAATAAAGGACTTATATCCAGAATATTAAAAAGAATAATCCTTGCAACTCAATACAAAGACAAACAACCCAATTCCAAATTGGGCAAATGATGTGGATAAGTATTTTACAAGAAAAGATATATGAATGGCTAATTAGCACATGGAAAGATGTTCAAAATCATTAGTCATTATTAAAATGTAAATTAAAAAGACAATGAGATATGACTACACACACACATACTAACAATATCAAATCTTGGGGATAATGTGGAGAAACTGAAATCTTCATACATTGCCGGTGGGAATGAAGAATGGACAGTAACTTTGAAAACAGTTTCTTAAAAGACTAAATATATATTTAACCATACAACCCAACATATATGCACATACTCATATCAACATGGTTCACAATTGCTGAAAAGTCAAAGCAGTCCAAATGTCCATCAGATGGTCAATATTGGGGGGGAAGTTCCATACAGTTAGAACACTGTTCAGCAATTAAAAGGAATGAACTACTTGGGTGTAGAACAACATGGATAATCCTCAAAAACATTATTCTAAATGCAAGCAGCCAGAAAGAAAAGTCTACATATTATATAACACTTTATATGAAATGTCTATAGAAAAGGCAAAGATATAGAGACAGAAAATAGATTCGTGGTTACTAGGAACCATGGGGCTAGGCATAGGGATTGACTGTAAATAGGCATCAGGGAACTTTTCAGAGTGGCAGAAATATTCCGTATAAATTTTCTAGAAATTATTTAACTCTCAGTTACAATGAATACATTTTATGACATGTAAATTATGTCTTATTAAAGCTGCTAAATAAAGCAAGGGAAAGAGGGAATGAAGCATTTGCCTTGCCTTTCCTATAGGAACTACATTTCAGAGTAACCAAATTGCTAATAAGCAAAATTTCTTTCACAGAAAAATTCTAGCTAATAAATACAAAGAAATTACAATATTATAAAAATAACAATTTTGTAACCCCTAATGAACAGACAAATCTCAACGGATGCTAAAGCTATTAGTTGAAAACCTGATGAGGAACTCTATAATGGAGGAATTAGGTTGCCTGGAGCCAAATGATCAAACTTAGCATCTCTAAACTTAAGATAATCAGACATTTTATGCAACTTGATTCACAGCATCAACTTTGAAGGTGTCTTGCCAAAACAGTAGAACAAAATATATCAAACCTCTTAGTCTAATGATCATTTTTTCATACAAGTAATAAACAACCTAAACAATACTTCAAGGAAGCAATCAGCCAAATCCAAACTGTAGGACATGCTAGTTTTTCTTACAAATTCACAATATTAAAAATAAATAAGCAAGAAAAGTATGGGACATTACTACAGAGAAAAAGATAAATAGCCGTATATAATGTGTGAACCACACCTTGACTGGATTCTGATTTTAACAAAACCAACTATACAAAGACATTTTGAGGACAACTGGGGAAATCTGAATAATGACTAAGAATTTTATTTTATTGAGGAATTATTGATTTTGTTAGGTGTGATACAAGCATAGTGGTTATATTTTTTTAAAGTCTTTCTCTGTTGGAGGTCATACCAAAGTATTTGTGAAATGACATAATGAATAGAACTTGCCTTTAAATATTTCAGCTATTTTCTTGAAATGGAAGGGTAAATATGTTAATAAGATTGGCAAAATACCAAAAATTATTAAAGTTGGGTGACAGATCCATAAGACTTCATCATTCCATTTTCTCTACTTTTAGTGTTTTTGTAATTGTTCATATTATTTAAAGTTAGGAAACAAAAATTGCAAAATAGGGGTGTGGAGGAGAAAAAAAGAAAAAAGAGTCCAACGCATACAAGAGAAGTCAGAAATAAAAACTGAACTGGAAGTCAACAGAAGATAAGTAATTTATGAAGCCAAGTCTTCATATAAGAGTACTATATGGGTATAAGGAGAGAGCATAAATGGGCAGAAAGAGATCAGAGAAGTGAAGCTAGTGAAATACCAATATTTTAAAGATAGGGCAGAGAAAGATGAATTTGAGAAGGATTCCAGAAAGTAGTACTTCTCAGTGGTTGGGAAGATACTCAAGAAAAAATGAGTCAGGGAAATTAAGGAAGAAAATTTCTAAAAAAAATAGTTAACACTTTTTATAGCCCCTAAATTTCAAATCAAATAATAAAAAAACATTATTTTTAACAGAATTTCAAAATAAGAGAAATGATTATCTTCATTTTTTTCTAAGATATAAAATTTACTCTGGTAAATTGTACTAAACAAGATGTTCAGGAAATATTAAAATTCATATATCCACTGCCATGAAACTGTCACCTACCTAGTGTGCCACAGTGGAAAATATAGCACCAAGTGCTAGAACAGCTATAAAAAAAAAAAATAAGATATTGACACTGGCCATAAACAGTTCTCTGAAGAAGAGCCACTGAAGTATAAGCTCCATGAAGACAGACAATGAGATGGCCCTGTTCCTCCCTATATACCCAGATTCTAGCACATTGCCAGGCTACATGTTTCCATACTGCTAGAATTCCAAAGGGGCAGATATCTTAGGAAAAAATAAAGATAATAATTTTGACGTGGGAAGTGTTAGAGTGGGAGGGCAGTTAACAGTGATGATGGGCAATACTGTGAGTCACAGTTATACATCAGATCAATCTGGAGATCTCAGAGCCCTTTCTAATTGCAAAGACAAATAACAGGGCATTGGATTTCATACCAGGGTTTGAATTATTTATACCCAAGTGTACATTTTTTGCACTGCTGTTCTCTCTCACAAATATTTGTATCTTTTATTGTTAAATCTCAGTACTTTGAAGAATTTACTGTTATCTTCAGTCTGACAAATGTCTCCTTCAAATAATTAACTAACATAATGAATATAATTCAAACTGCAAGAGCATATATATTTTAAGCTACCATTACTTTGATCTTCCATTATTTACTCTCTTAATTTGTAATATACTGAGGTTGAAGACATATTTTTGTTTCCAGGGTGAAGTCCCACCTAACAGGAATCTCTATCTTTACATCATAAACACTTCATATCATCTTAATCAATACAAAGTTTAAATAAGTCTTTCTTTGTTTTCAAAGACCAAACATAGAAAAAGGAATAATTCTTAACCTCTCTGCTACACATACTTTTTAAAAATTATTTCTAGGAATATTCTGAAATTCTAAAAAGCATAAAAAAGTCTCAGTTCAATATTTTAAAAATTCTATTAGACCCTTTTAAACTTTTGTTTAACCCAAGATTAAAGATCATAAGGATAATAAATTCTAAAATATCTTAGAATCAGGAGTTTAAAAGTCTAAAACTTACATTCAAGCTGTGCAACCACATCTCCAGGGTCTACTGCTTCAGGGAACACCTAGAAGGCAAGACATAAGGGGAAGGAAGTAGGACGGAGAATATATATGACTCTTTGTTTTTTCCCTCACATTCCCAAAATATCATTCCTTTCCCACCAAAAAAATTTAGATATTATTGAGAACTTTACTTCCCCTCTGCTTCCCATGATCACTATGAAAGATTTTACAAATAAACTTTACAGCTGACTGCCTCCCTCTCCAACTTTGTCTGCTAATACTCTTACCTTATTTGTTACCATGGAATGTACCAGCCTTTCGGGTGTTCTTCAACCTATCAAGCTTATGACTTATTCATCAAGTAAACAATCTAATCCATCAAGGAAAAGGCAACTGATTCAATGCATATTTAATGCATATTTATTTTCAAGTTTAAAGATTTAAGTTACAAATTTCATTTTCAATTAAACCAAAGCATATAGTCAGTAACAATAATTAGTGTTATGGGCTTTAATTCAAAAATTAAAGCCACTTTGGATGTTTTTGTTTGTTAATACTTGATCTTATATCTGAATTTACCTTTTCAAACACCATTCTGGCATTGAAAACCAGTGGAAAAGTGGCTGGGACACATTGTGTCTTTTTGTATTGGCCAAACACACAGATGCTAAGATAGATGTCCTCCTTGTCTTTCAGCACCACTCCTGGACAAGTTACCTGAAAGAAATTAGACAAATGGATGTAATTGCTTTATTAATTCTCTGAACTATCCACTAAAATAGCATCAAATGTTACATAAAAACAGTCTGCAGCCGGGCTCGGTGGCTCAGCCTGTAATCCCGCGCCTTGGGAGGCTGAGGTGAGGGGATTGCCTGAGCCCGTGGGTTCGAGGCCCGCCTAGGCAACTTGATGAGACCTCATCTCTACAATAAATCAAAAAATTAGGTGGGTGTGGTACCGCGCACCTGTAGTTCCAGCTATTTGGAAGGCTGAGGCGGAAGGATCACCGGGGCCCAGCAGGTCGAGGCTGCGGTGGCCGGGAGCGGCCACTGCACTCCAGTCTGGGTGACAGAGTGAGACTCTAACTCAAAAAACAGTCTGCTAACCTAATAAAAGTATTCACAAATTTTAAAAAGAGAGAGTCTAGTGTTTACAGAGTTAAATGAAATGCCTTTATAACTTCCATCCCTCTGAGAAATCTAAGATTTTCCATTTGGTTACTTGTGCCACATTTGAAACTCTATGTACTGGCTCTTGGGACAGACACTAATAGTTTTAAACAGTCAGCCTTAGGCTCCTACTTCATGCTGAATGCTGACATAAAGTTATTCAGCATCATTTAATCACAAAGGATTAACACTCAGCAGAAACAAAACATTAAACTAGAAAACAAAAGAAAAAACCTGATAAATAGCACAAATCTGACCTCTTTTACCTTCAATAGCAGCCCATAGATACCTTCATCAAAAGCAGTATGACAAAGTTTTAAAGATAATGCATTGAAAGCTTCCAGCCCAATATACTATTTTTAAAATTATTAGGTTGCACTTCACTATCCTCATTGTGATTCACAGAAAGTATAGGCATAAAATTTGTGGTTTCTAAATAACACCTAGCACAAGTCTCTCCAGTCCCTGCCATATTCCATTGCCAGTGATCAACCACACCCTTAACGGAATATTAAAACCTCTCTAAGTCTTGAGTCCACCATAGTAATATTACCTAACACACCCTTAACAATATATTCAAAGTATATTTTTATTGTTCTTTGAACATACACATTACTTTCTTGCCTAATGTTTTTTCATCATCTGTATAATGCAACATAATATAATGTAACAAAGTGCTAACACCTTACTACTCCATTCTATCTTCTCCTCATTTACTCCCACCACTGCTAAGATATACATCAGTTCCCATGTCTTATGCAAAATTTGTTTAATCAGTTATCATAATTCAATTCAGTCTAATTCAAATATTTATTATGAACTTACTAAATACAACTAAATATGTTCTAAATTCTAATAGCATTTTGTAGTTCTCTTAAGGTCCAAACTATTTCCTAAATGCATTTTAATTAAGTGGATGCATATCACCTCTTTTATTTATGATAAATTCCCTGAGGAAAGAATTTTATTTTTCTCATCATTGTATCCAAAGAAATAGACTTTCAGAATTAAGAAAAAGCATAGAGGTTAGCCAGTCCAGCTTTGAATGTTTTATGTATGAAACCAACAGGGCCCCAGGAAAGTTTAGGTGACCTACTAACTTAAGGTCACAAAGTAAATGAGTCACAAGATTAAATGAATTAATACATTCAAAGTGCTTAGAGCAGTTCTTGACAGAGCATTCATCAATACTAGCTATCATTATTATAAGATTAATAACTATATTATCTGCCATCTTAGCACACTATTAAATTGACTAAGACTTCATAACACTTTGTACACAGTAGTTAAGATTATTTTCTGTGCCAGCTATTTTGACTCTATCTCACTCTTACTCTACTTTCCACTTTCATCCTAATATAGTCCCAACTGATCACTAAAATCAAGGTCCTTGGCAAATCTCATTCTGTCCATCAGGTTCATTTCCTAACTTGCATCATTAAAACCAAAACTGTCCTTGTGTCCCCAAGTCTGTGTTGTCCAACATGGAAGCTGCTAACCACTTATGCTTATAATTGTAGATAGTTTAACTTGAGATGAGCTATAAGTATAAAATACATACTGTATTTTAAAGACTTAGTTTAAAAAATGCAAAAATATCCCATTAATAACTTTTATATTAATTATATGTTGAAAAATATTTTAAACATATTGATTTAAATAAAATATGTCATTAAACATAATTTTATCTCCTAACTGTTTAAAATATAGCCACCAGAAAATTTAAAATTACATTCTTAGTTCAAATTTGACACTAACATTGTATTTCTTTTAGACTAGACATCACTGCTCTAATTGTCCTCACTAGAAACTGCTGAGTCTCTTTCCAATTTGCAACATATACAAGAATGCATGACTTTCTTTAATCTCATCTACAATTCTACAAATTCGGTCATCCTTTAAAAGAAAGCAGGAAAAGAGAAACTAAAGAAAACAAGATGTGATAAACCACTAGGCAAGGTGGTTGACTTAAACCATCTTGACAAACTATGACATACGAGAGGGACCCAACAAAACCCATAATTTATTTGTAAATTTATTTATTCTTCCATGTTTAAACTTTAGTCACCTTCAAAGTACTCTCCATTTGATGTCATATACCTATCGAGAGGTTTTTTCCACTGCTCAAAACAGTTTTTGAACTCATCAATTTTGATGCCTTTCAGTGTTTCCGCTGTTTTTTGTTTCGCCTCTTCCACATTGGCAAAAAGTTTCCCTTTAAGGACTTTTTTCATTCAGGAAAATAAAAAAGTCACTTGGGGCAAGATTATCTGGACTGAAGAACAGAAAAAAAAAAAAAAGAATAACAAAAATGAAGAGAGTCTCAGAGACCTATGGGACACCATCAGGCACAGCAAAATAAAAATAATTGGAGGCGCAGAAAAGAAGAGAAGAGGCCAGAAAAAAAATTACAAGAAATAATGGATGAAAACCTCTGAAATTTAAAGACAAACAATAAACACATCTGACAATACCAAAGAACCCCAAACTGCACACATAATAAACTTTCAAAAGAATCCAAAGAACTCTCAAGAAGAGAGAAACTTGAAAGTAGCAAGAGAGAATTTATTCAGAAGGCACTAGAGATTCTAATAAGATTAACAGCTGATTTCTCATCCAAAACATGAAGCCAGAAGGAAATGCGATGACTTACTCAAAGTGTTGACAAAAGAAAACTTTCAAACAATAATTCAATATCCACAGAAATTTCCCTTCAAAAAGGAAATAAAGAGATTCTCAGACAAACAAAAACTGAGATAACTCATCACTACCTGAAACACTTAAAGAGAATCCTTCAGGTTAAAATGAAAAGATACCAGCCAGGAACTCATATCTGTATAAAAACAAAAACAAAAAACAAAGACCACCAGTAAAGAAAACCATATGTTAAATATAAAAACAGTATAAATGCAGTTTTCTATTATTTCTTTTATCTTATTTAAAATACAATTTCACAAAGCAACAATCATAAAACTATGCTGATGGTTTTACATGTCTAAAAATGTAATTTGCATGACAATATTATAATGAAGAAGAGAGAGAATACAAAAGAAAAGTCAAGGTTTTATGTACTACTGAAATTAAGTTGGTATTAATTCATACTAGAGCATTGTAAATTAAGATGTTAATTGTGAACCCCAGGACAAGCACGAAGAAAATAACAAAAAATACAGTAAAAGAAACAACAGGGAAATAAAAGAATGGCCCCTCAACCAACTCGTCTTCAACAAAGCTATCAATAACAAATTTGGAGAAAGGAAACCATATTAGTAATGGTGCTAGGTAAACTGTTAGCCACATGCTAAAGGATGAAACTGGACCCCTACCTATAACCATATACAAAAATTAACTCAAAATGGATCAAGGACTTAAATGTAAAACCTCAAACTATAAGAATCTTGGAAGAAAACTTAGGGAATATCTTCATGGACATCAGCACTCTACTGGCAATTAATTCATGGCCAAGTCCTCAAAGAAAATGAAACAAAAACTAAGATTAGGCAGGTGGGACCTTACCAAACTTAAAAGATTTTGCACAGCAAAAGAAACCATTAAGAGAGTAAAGAGACAACCCATGAAATGGGAAAACAAATATTTACAAGCTATGCATCTGACACAGGCCTAACAGCCAGGATCTACAAGGAACTCGAATTGAAAGAAAAAAAACAAACAACTTCATAAAAATGTGGGAAAGAACATGAACAGACACTTCTCAAAGGATGACATACAAGCAGCCAGCAAACACACTAAAAAATATTCAGGCTCACTAATCATCAGAGAAATGCAAGTCTCAAAACTACAATGAGATACTACCTAATATTGATAAGAATGGCTATCATGAATAAGTCAAAAAACAAGTGCTGGTGCGGTTGTGGAGAAAAGGGGTTGCTTCTACATTGTTGATGGATATGCAAGCTAGTTCAATCTCTGTGGAAAGTAGTGTGGTGAATGTTCGCTGCAGCACTATTCACAATAGCAAAAATATGGACCCAACCAGATGGCCATCGAAAATTGACTTGATAAAGAAAAATGTAGTACAAATACACAATAAAATATTATGCAGCCATAAATAAGAACAAAATCATGGCCTTCACAAAAACGTGAATGCAGTTGAAAACCATCATACTAAGCGAACTATCACAGAAACGAAGAACTGCATACCGAATGTTCTCACTCATAAGGAGGCCCTGATCACTGGTCATACTAGCACAAGAGTGCGATGAGCAGATGCTGCACACTGCTGGGGGCAGGGGAGTGAGAGAGGAGGGAGGGAAACACATGGCAATACACTGGGTACCTGGTAGACTATCAGGGGGAGAAAGAGTCAGCTAGAATCCCAAACTTCAGCTACATACATAGCCTACTTATGTAGTAAATCTCCACTTACACCCTACAACTCTAAAACTTTAAAAAAACAATTTTTAAAGAAACAGTAAGGCAATGAAAATAGCACATTAAAAAATAATCTGCACCAAAAACAGGTGGTAATGGAGAAACAAAGAAACAAAAAAGATAAAAGACAGAAAACAAATAGCAAAATGACAGAGGCAAATCCAACTATATCTGTTATTACTTTAAAGACAAATTGACTAAACACTACAATCAAAAGGTAGAGATTGGCAAAATAGATTCAAAACTGTGATAGAACTATATGCTGCCTATAAGAGACACACTTTAGAGTCAAAGATACAAATGGGTTGGTAGTAAAAGGATGGAAAAAATACACTATGTAAGATCCACACAAAGATCTATACTAATATCAGACAAAACAGATATTAAAACAAAGATTGTTACTAGAGACAAAGAAAAACATTTTATAATTAGAAACATATATATTACATATAAGGGGGGAACCAAAAAGAAACCAGAATTTATTTATTTAAAATTGTGTATTCATACATGTTTAAACTTCAGTCACCTTCAAAGTACACTCTGTTTGATGCAGCACACATATTGGGACACTTTTTCAAGTGCTCAAAATAGTTTTGAACTCAGTTTTGACATCTTTTAGCACTTCTGCTGTTTTTTTGTTTCACCTCTTCCACATGAGCAAAACTTTTTCCTTTGAGGTCCTTTTTCATCCAGGGAAACAAAAAAAAAGCCACTAGCAGTGAGATGGGTGAATAGGGAGTGTGGGACACAGGAGTCATGCCATTTTTGGTCAAACACTGCTGAACACTCAGCACAATGTAAGCAAGTGCATTGTCTTAGTGGAAGAACTAGTCACCTGTTTGCCACAATTTGGAATGTTTCTTCCGTAAATCATGCTGCAACCTTCTCAAAACTTCCAGATAAAAATTTTGGTTGACCGTTTGATCCAGAGGAACAAATTTCGAGTGTACTACCAGGAGCTTGCCCTCCAAATGATAATTCCTGGATATCTTGGGTACCCTTTATATATGTCAAGATGACATAACAATTATAAACATACACGCACTTAACAGAGCTCCAAAATACATGAAGAAAAAGTGTCCCAGCATCTCTCCAAAGATTAACAAATGGCCATAGAAAATATGTTCAACGTCATTAGTCATTAGGAAATACAAATCAAAACTACTATGAGAGAGCTCTTTATACCCACTAGGATGGCTGTAATTTTTAAAATGTACACAAAGAAGTGTGAGGAGGATACAGAGAAATTGAAAATCTCACATGTTGTTGATGGGATTATAAAATGGTGTAGCCACTGCAAAAAAAAAAAAGTTTGACAATTCCTCAAAAAAATTAAACAGATACCCTAAGATCCCATAGTCCCACTACTAGGTATTTAAGGCATTAAAATGATATACGGACACAAAAATGTGTACACAAGTATAGCAGCACTATTCATATAGCAAAAATGTAATCACAACCTCCACAACCTAAATGTTCATCAACTGATGAATGGATAAGCAAAATACGGTATATCCATACAATGAACTATTATTAACATAAAAGGAATAAAGTACTAAAACGTGTACAACATGGATAAGCCTCAAAAGCATTATTCTAAGTGAAATAAGACAGATACAAAAGGCCATGTATTGTACAACTCCATTTATAGAAATGTCCAGAATAGGCAAATTCATAGACATAGAAATTGGGACCCACGTACTGGTAGGATGGAGAAAAAATTAATGACTGCCAAGAGGTACAGGATTTCTTTATGGGATGATGAAAATGCTCTGAAATTAGATAGTGATTGTTGTACACTTTTGTGAATACACTAAAATTTACTGAATTGTATACCTTAAAAGGGTAGATTTTTATGGGATGTGAATAGTATCTCAATTTTTAAAAGATAAAGACTAATAAGAAAAGTAAAACGATGAAAAAGATATACCATACAATCATTAATCATAAGACAGTTATGACATAGGGTAGACTTCAGAAAGAGAAAGATTACCAATGATAAAGTCAATGTCTCATACTGATTAAAAATTTTACGTACTGAGAAGACATAACAAAACTAAATGTATAAGTACCTAATTATACAGGATCAAAGTAGATGAAGCAAGAAATTACATTAGCTAATTTCAATATTTCCCTCTTAATAATTGATAAAACAAATGATCATTAAAAATACAGAAGATGGAAACATTCAGTAATCTGACCTAAATGACATTTATAGACTACTCTGTCCAACAACAGAAGGATCTACTTTTTTCTCCAAGTGCACATGAAAATATTCAACAAACTAGATGATACTGTGGACCATAAAACAAGTCTCAATAAACATAAAAGAACTAAAATCATACAGAGTATAAATCCTACTCACAGCAGAATTAAACTAGAAATCAAAAGAAAGAAAATGCCTAAAAAAAAAATTACCTAAATACTTGGAAATTAAGTAATGCAGTCATAAATCATTTACAGGTCAAAGAAGAAATTGTAAGACAAACTAGAAAATACTTTCAATTGCATTAAAATTTTTTTTAAAAATCAAAATTTGTGAGATGTAACTAAATCATTTCTAAAAAGTATATTATAGCATTAAATCTTAGAAATTCCCTTAAATTATTTCTGCAGAAAAACATTTAACAAAATGTAAGCACTATTCATGATAAACACTCTCAGCAAACTAAGTGACAATTTTCTCAAATGATAAAAAAAATTCTGTGAATAAAATCTAAATCTGACATCACGCATACTCAATGCTGAAAGACTGAATGCTTGTTCTCTAATATTAGCAAAAACTTAAGAATGTCCATTATCACCACTTCTATTCTACAATGTATTATAGATTCTAGCCAGTGCAAAAGGATAAGAAAAAAAATATTTTAAAAAGAAATAGAAGGCATACAAATTGACAAGAAATAAGTACATCAAAGTATTTTCAGACAATATAACTGTGGCCTATTACAGAAATAATAAGGAAGTTTAGCCAAGTCACAGGATATAAAGTCAATATTCAAAAATAAATTGTATTTCCATATACTAACAATACACAAATAAAATTTTTTAAATACCATTACAGTAGCATCAAAAAACATGAACCAGTTAGACATAAATTTAACAAAATATGTGTAAGACATACATACTGAAAAATATAAACATCAGTGAAAAAAATTGAAGATCTAAATAAATGGAAAAAAAATACCAGGTTCGTGGATTGAAAGAATCAATATTGTTAAGATACAAACTCTCCCAAAACTGATCCATAATTTCCACATCATCCCAAGCACGAGGAAAGTCAACAAAATTGTAAATCAGGAAATAAATTCACTTCAAATGAATATTAAATAATTCACACAATCTGAAAATAAATTTAAAATATTTAAGATCCTTCATCCAGAAAGAAAAAAAAAAAACTCCATAAAAAGACAAATGTGTTCAAAATGAAAAAACACTGCCACACATTTAAAAAGAGAGACTGAATGAAAATCTTGGAAAACATGATCAATTAAGTTAAAAATCTCAGCAGAAGACACAAAATTTTAAATAAGTAAGTAAAAATTTAAAACTCTAAATGGATCAAAGACCTAAACGTAAAACCTCAAACTATAAGAACTTTAGAAAATGCTGGAGACACTCTTATGGACATTGGAACTGGCAACCAATTCCTGATCAAAACCCATATCATAAGAGATAAGATAGACAAGTGGGACCTCATCAAATTGACAAGCTTCTGCAAAGCCAAAGAAACCATCAAGAGAGCAGGAAGACAGCCCACAGACTGGGAAAAAATATTTGCTGACTGTATATCAAAGGACTAACATCTAGGATCTATAAGGAACTCAAACGTGCTGAAAAGAAAAAAACAAACAGCCCTATTACAAAGTAAGCAAAAGATATGAATAAACATTTCTCAAAAGAAGACATATGAGCAGCCAACAGATACATGAAAAAATGCTCAGCCTCACCAAAGAGATGCAAATTAAAACCACACTGAGCTACCACCTAACTTTAGTCAGGATGACCATCATTAATAACTCAAAAAACAACAGATGCTGGAGAGTATGCGGCGAAAAGGGAATACTTCTACACTGTTGGTGGGAGTGTAAACTAGTACATCCTCTGCAAAAAACATTTTGGCAATTCCTAAAAGATCTAAAAATCAACCTCCCATATGACTCTGAAATTTCCCTACTGGGAATATACCCGGAGGAACTCAACTCACTCTATGAAAAAGATACCTGCACATGTATGTTTATTCCAGCATTGTTCACAACAGCAAAAACATGGAACCAACTGTGCTGCCCATCGAAAAGGACTGAATAAAAAAAATGTGTGATCCATATAGACAATGGAATATTACACAGCCATGAAGAAGGACAAAATTATGAACTTCACAGTGTAAGAAGGAACAAAGAGAACAATTGATTGTACCCTTATCCGCCACACCTGCATAACCAGCTACATCTGCTTTTGTAAACTTGCTTGCTTGCCCAGCCTCCAGAATGTTGCAATAAAGAGCCCTGGGAAGTCCCAAGTTCTATCTTTAGCCAACCAGGCTGTAAATCTAAACTACATAAGACAGCCCTGTGTTGCAGCTCGCTCCTTGCTGGGAACTAGTTCCCAGCAAGCAGCTGCTGGTCAGCAAGGGCCTTGACTAATAAACCTCTCCTTTGCTAATTTGAGTCAGTGGGCTGTCATTTAATCGCGCAGAATCTACTTCAACAGCAACTTGGATGGACTTAGAGTCTATAATACTGAGTGATCTATCACAGAAACAAAGAACTGAGCATCACACATTCTCACTCATAAGCGGAACTTGAATAATTATTGTAATACTATAAAAAAGGGATCAGCAGTAGTGAGAATCTGCCAGAAGAGGAGGGGACCCACCTCATCCACAAGGGTACCTGCATAATGAACATTTGTATACCTAACCCTGAATTGTACCCCACATCTTTATAATAAAAAATTTTTTAAAAGAAAGAAAAGGAAACCAGTCCACAAAATTTTCTTAAAAGTGTCCTTTTTCACAGAATATAAAAAAATTCAAAATTCAGCGTTTTAAAAAATTAAGGATAGAGGGGAACTTTATTAACTCAAATAAAAACTCTACAGTCAATATTATATTAGGTTTTACTATATATGAAATTGCCAGGGAATTTAAGTCAAAAAATAGGTCCATTATCCATAATTTCATAAGATTCAATCTAATACTTACTAGTGAAACTTAAGAAGCATAACTTAAAAATCAAAAAATATTCTCAAAGGTCTTCTAGTTGAAGTTTAGTATAGTATATATGTATTTTTAAAAAGGACAAAGATACCTGTTATCCCTACTAGCTAACATTATACTGGGGATTCTAGGCAACAACATAACTAAGGACAGGGATGGGGGGGGCGGTGGAGACAACGGATTGTACAGCAGAAGCCAAAACTGTCTATTTGTAAATAATATGATTTTCCATGTAAAAATCCAGATAACTATTGGAACTAATATGATAATTTGATAACACTGTTGCATCCAAAAGTAAAATACAATGTGCAACGAAGATATATGTAAGAATGTTTATAGGAGCACAATTTGTAATATCCCCAACTGGAAACAATGAAAATGCTCATCAACAACAGAATAGATAAACAGTGGTATATTCATATAAAAACTGTTGCCTCACAAAACATGGGTAAATTATCACAGAGGAGTTAGATGTAAAAGAGTTCCTACCAGATGACTGATAGACAGATGATGGATAGATTGATAAATAGATAAATAGATAGATAGATAGATAATAGATAGATGGATAGATGGACATACGTAACTAGATTTCAAAAGTTCAAAACATATTGGGATAGAATACTTACCTCTGGGAAGAGGGTAGATGTACTAGCTGGGAAGGAGGGAGCCCAATGGAGCAATCTGGGGTGCTGATAATATTCTACTTATAATGTGTGCACTTTCTGAATACATACTATAGTAAACTTCAACTAAAAGATCCTTGAGAATCACATTACATGTAAACAATAGAGGTTTAGTATTCAAAATATATTTAACAAGAAGACCAAAATACAAAGTGGTTAGTCACAGAAAAGAGAACATCTAGCATCAGAGACTGGAGTTAGGCAACCACAACCAAGAATGCCTGGAGCTATCAGAAACTAGAAGAGGCAAGAAGGGATTCTCCTCTAGAGCCTTAGGAGGGAGCACGCCCTGCCAACACCTTTATTTTGCACTCTGGTCTCTAGAAATGTGAGAGAAAAAATTTATGTGGTTTTAAGCCACCAAGTTTATGAGAATTTGTTTCAGCAGTCCTGGGAAACTAATATGGTCCTGAAAGACTCAATATTTCCATTTCTAGATCTATTCCCTAGAGTACTGGGGCTCCATTCTATAAGATTCAAAACCCTCCTTTTGCAACAAATATTTTGCAAATTACCTACACATGTAAATAAAAAATAAGCCAATATGCTAATTTTTTCAAAATTACAGAAATAATTTACAACAAAATATATATTTCTAAATGTAAATGTTTGGGTAGGACTAAGCTGGAAGATATATTTGCACCTATACACAGAATCCATGTGAAATGAACAGTTTCAAATGTAGGATGATAAGTGTCACATAATGGAACTCAAGCACCATTGCCTTTGGTGCTATGATTTTCCAAAAAAGGAAACTCTTAGCAGAGTTCTGAACAAAAAAAAAAACACATTCTTTTCTCAATTTGCATGGCAACCGTATTCCTGAAAACCTTTAAAAAATTTGTATTTTAAAACCTTTTAAAAATTTGTATTCATACATTTTTTAAGTTAGATTATTATTTATTCTTATTAGGCCATTAATCTTTAATAAGCTGATTTCTAGCTACACATTTAATGAGAAATCTGACTCATGCAGGACACGAGACAAATAATACCATAGGACCCTCCCCACCAATACTCTGACAAACCAAAGTAGCCCATTTCTAAATAAATGTCTAGAATGCTCTCTAGGACACAGCACTCACATTGGAGAAAAAATTGACATGAACACTAGGAGAGATGTGCAAATATACTTATTGCAACATTGTTTTCCACAGTAAAAAGTGGCAACTACTGATACTTAAAAAGTTCATAAATAGGGGAACAAAACTTAAATCACTGTCGCATAAACAGACACCATTATATACCAATTAAGGCAACAAAATATACCTGCAAGAATCAACACTGACATATTTCAAAAACAGTGAAGTGGAAAAAGCAGACTGCAAAACAAATAGGATATTACTTATGCAAAATTCAAAACCAAAACAATAGCATAGGTAGTACATAGACATACACAAGCATGTAGTAAAAGTACAAATATCTGAATGAAAAGAATACACTACAACTTCAGGATATTGGTTACCATAACTCCAGGAAGGGACAGAGGAAAACCAGGTCAGGAAGAGGTATAGAGGAGGTCTCAACCATATCTGTAACACTTTATTTCTTAATGTTCTGCAGCAAACACATAAAATGTATCACTTCTTAAATGAGTGGGTCAATGTATTCAGTATGTATGTAAGTTTGAAATATTTTATAGTTAATGTTTTGTTGGGGTTCTTTTGAGTCTATATTCCAGGGAAATTTACCATCAACTGTGCTCGACGGAGACACTATTCCACAGTAATCTGGATAAGGAACACAAAAATAAGCAAACATTCAGATGAATAGTGATTGAAAGGGCCCAGATCTGTTTGTTGCAATGCTATCTATCATTAGCATGAGTTAGGTAATGAATATAGAGAAAAAAAACAGGAAGTTATATACAATTAACCCAAATCTGACAGTTACACTATTAAGATAAAAATAATTGACCAGTTTCATTGCCCAGGCTTTATTCTTTATCTCTAATTTCTTCCTTCTATTTTCCCAAATAATCTCATGAAAACTGAAATACTGAATAATAAAAAGATGGTAAAGAGATGAAGCAACAAAAATACTTCTTCACATCAAAAATAAGATGTTTCCAATATCGAAAATGTAAGTGATGGGAAGTGTAATTCTTTTGATGCTCTTTAAAAACAAGTTCCTCGGAATATCATTCTCCAAAGATTCACTGAGAAAAGTCACACTTTCCTCCCAGCAATATCTTTTCTCTCAAGTCATATGGCTCTGTTGGGCAACATAAAATGTTGTGTTATATGTCCAAACTTCCATGTTTACTGTTTTTGCTCTCATATTACCACACTATTACACATAAGAAATTAACCATGAATACAATACTGCAGCAAAAAATAAGCATGTAAGGGGTAGAGAAGAATGGGGAGTCACGCTTTCAATAGAAAAATAGAGACAAAATATCGAATTTCCAGTTTATAGGAACTGGGAACAAATTAAATGTCACCACAAAGGAAAAAAGTAGGCAATAACACATATAATATCCTACATTTGAGCCTGTTCTCTTTAAAAGGTAATATCTACAAAAAGGTTTTTTACAAGAATGATTGTTCATAGTAGCACTATCCATGACAACCCCTAACCTGGAAACAACCCAAATTACCATCAATAAGAGAATGGATAGCATCAAAGTAAATAGCTTCTGTACAGCAAAGGAAATAAGCAACAAATTAGAGGCAATATAATGAATGAGAGAAAATCTGATAAGAGGTTAACAGCCAAAATATATAAGGATGAAAAGAACCCGAAGAAGAAGGAAGGAAGGAAGAAGGTAGGAGGAGGAGGAGGAGGAGAGGAGAGAGAGAAAGAGAAATAAAGAAAAAGAGAGAGAGAGAGGAAGGAAGGAAGGAAGGAAGGAAGGAAGGAAGGAAGGAAGGAAGGAAGGAGGGAAGAAGGGAGGGGAAAAAATGGGCAGAAGACCAGAATACACATTTCTCAAAAGAAGACATATAAATGGCCCACAGGTATATGAAAATGTGCTCCCATATCTTACTACATCAGGGAAACGCAAATCAAAACCACAATGAGATGTCACCTCACACACATCAGAATGAATATTATAAAAAAGGCAAAAGATACTAAGCATTCACAAGAATGTGGAGAAAAAAGAATCTTTATTCACCCTGGTGGCAATGTAACCTAGTACAGTCATTATGGAAAACAGTATGGAGGTTCCTCAAATAATTAAAAATAAAACTACCATATGATCCAGCAATCCATCCCACTTCTAGGTATCTATCCAAAGGAAATGAAATCAGTATATGGAAGCGATATCTGCACTCTCATGTTCATTGGAATATTATTCACAATGGCCAAGAGATGGAATCAAACTTAGAGGCCATCAAAGGATAAATGGATAAAGGAAATGTAGTATATATTACACACACACACACACACACACACACACACACACACACACACACACACACACAAATATTATTCAGCCTCAAATAAGAAGAAAATTCTGTCATTTGCAACAACATGCATGAATCCAGGGGCACAGAAAGACAAATACTGCATGATCACATTTATATGTAGAACCTAAAAAGCCCAGACTCAGAAGCAAACAGTAGAATGGTGGTTGCCAGGGGCTAGTGAATGGTGGGGAGATGTTGATTAAGGGAACAAAGTTTCAGTTAGGACAAAAGTTTTGGACATCTGTTGCATAATGTGGTGACCACAGTAAATAATCACTACATACTAACAAGCACTAAGACAGTAGATCTTAAGTATTCTTACCACACACACAAAAAAGTACATGAGGTGATGGATACGTTAATTAGCTTAATCTAATCATTTAACTATATATCAAGACAACACTTTGTACACTGTAAATATATATAA